TGTGAGAATAACACATGACTGTGCAGTATTTCTGCTGTATATAGGATCGCTATGAGTCAGAGCTGACTCAATGGCACCTAAGAATGACAAAGAATATATGTAACATACACATGTAGTGAGGCATGATAATAAACTCCCATAAAACCACTATGCAGAATAAGAACTAAGTCACAACTAATACCATATCTACCACTATGTTCTTCATTTATTCTTCTACCTGCATTCCCAAATCCAGTAGGGTAACCACCACCATGAATTTTGTGTTATAAATTATATAGAGTCTTATAAAAAAGTCTTAAAACTACCCCTCTAAATACTATAAATAAATAAATAAATAAAGGTGCTGCCAAGTTGATTCTTACTCACGGCAACTCCATGTGTGTCAGAGTAGAACTGTGCTCCATAGGGTTGTGCCCCAAAGGCTGATTTTTTTTTTTTTTTTTAAATTGTGATTTGGGTGAAAGTTCATAGAGCAAATTCACTTTCCATACAGCAGCTCACATACATTGTCTCATGACATTGACTACAATTTCCCACAATGCAACAGCTCCCCTTCCACTTCCTCCCCATAGTTACCTCTTCCCTGTGTCTTTCCCTCCCATGCACTCCTGTGCATACACAGCTCTTCTTTTCTCCCATAACTGATCTCTCCAAGGAGTGTATCTATCGATTGTAAATGTTTAGCTTATATGCCCATTTTTTGTTTGGCTGGAAGCCACAGGAGTGGGTTCAATTCCAGACCTAAGGGGCATCTAGAGGCCATAGTCTCAGTGGTTCCATCAGGCTCTATCAGACCAGCAAAACTGGTCCTTTTTTTTAATAATGATTTTGAGTTTTGTTCCATATTGTTCTCACACTCTATCCAGAATCTCCTACAGAGGTCCCCCTCCAAGCAGTTGACAGCAGTAGCTGGGCACCATCTACTTCTTCTAGTCTCATAGTCATATAGGCTGAGGATCACATGATGTACCAGTCGCTTGGACTAATTGTTTCCATGTGTCTTTGGTTTTCTTCATTCTTCTTTGCTCTAGATGAGAAGAGACCCATTGTTGCATCTAGATGGCTGCTTGCAAGCCAAAGGCTGATTTTTTTACAAATAGATCCACCAGGCCTGTCTCCACATCCGTAAATATATTTGCCCCCTAAAAAGTCAAATATTGCACTTTAAGGGGTGTGGATGTTGAAACTTTGTAAGACAATGCCAAATTTCTTTCTCAAAGGGCTATATCAATTTATACTCTCATTAGTGGCATAATTTCTGTAGAAGTGCATAAAGCTTCCTAGTGATCCACTTCCTCACTGATCCTTGGTATTATCAAGTTTAAGTATTTTTGGCTAATTTGATAGATGTAAAATAGCACTCACTGTGGTATTAATTAAGGAGCTCTGGTGGTACAGTGCCCAAGGCATTTGACTGCTAACCAGAAGGTTGATAGCTCAAACCCCCCAACCAATTTCTGGAAGGAAGATGGGGCAATCTACTTCCATAAAGACTATGCCACCAGAGCACCTCCATCAATATTTACTGCCTCAGAAAACCTATGGGGTCACTATGAGTCAGAACTGACTCGAGAGCAGTTGGATTTGTTTTTTTGGTTTGGTGGTCTAAATAAGGAGATCTGGTGGTTCAGTGGTTAAGGCATTTGGCTGCTAATCAAAAGGTGTAGAGTTTGAACTCACCAGCTGCTCCACAAAAGTAAGATGAGGCAGTCTGCTTCCATAAAGATTTATAGCCTTGGAAACCTATGGGTCTCTATGAGTTGGCATCATTGAATGGTTGTTGTAATTGGCATTTATAAGATTACTAATGAGGTCAATCATTTCATGAGTTTATTCCCCATTCCTCTTGTGTAAATATATAGATTTTCATTTGTGTTTTCTTTTCTGAAAAGATGTATGTATGTGATATATATTATACATGCATTCGTGTATGCATGAATATATTACATGAATCTTTTATCAGCTATGTGTCCCAGGTATTTTCTCCCAGTTTGTAGGTTGTTTTCTCTCCTCCCCCCCCCACCCCACTTTCTTCACAGTGTCTTTTAATGAACATGTTTCTTATTCTAATTTGGTAGAATTCAGCAATCTTTCCTTTTATGTGTTATATTTTGTGTTTTAAGAAAATCTTCACTCCCTCAAGATCATAAGAGTTTTGGTTTCATTACAGGCGGCATCAAATTTTACTTTTAATATCAAGCTCTGTGACCAATTTCTACAGAAAGTTTCTGCTCTATCCCAGAAGCCATCTAAAAATGAAGGTGAAGCTAGACACAGAAACTGGGAAGAGTGTAAGATAATACTAGCACAGGATAAAAAGAGGTAGGAAAGTGACTAAGCTAATGAACCACTCCAGAAATCAGAAACGTATTTTTAAAAATCTAATCCAGAAATAATAATAACAAAACCACACGTTTTTCCAAAATGTTTAAATACTTCAATTTTTCAAATAACAAATTACTTTTTTCTATTACCTATTCACACCACAAAAAAATGCTTTTCAACTCATCCTCTGAAGGTAAATATAGCCCTAATAAACCAGAAAATTATGACACAAAAAAAGAAAATGAATCTCATTTATAACAAAATATTTTTAAAAAATGAACCCAGTAGAGTACATTAGAAACAACTACTACCACTACCACCACACCTACCAGAATGACAAAAGTAGCCCAGTCCCCTAGAGCCCAGCACTTTGAACTCGGACTTAAAGCCTCCAACTCTGAGAGAATAAAATTCTGTTTGTTAAAGCCATCCCATTTGTGGTATATTTGACATACATAAATAGGTCGATTCTTTCCTAATAATTATACAGATTTAATTAAACTCTAACCAGAGTCTGTTTAATACAGTATTTTTATCCCCTTTGTATTTAAAAAAATAAATTCTAAATTCATTTGGAAAAATTGATGTATGTGAATTATCCAAAAATATTTTCAAGGAAAAAATAGAAAATGATGAAGGGATCCTAGTACCCTCTACTCTCCACTAATATAGAGTCAATTCTAACTCATGGCAAGCCGCTGTACAGGGCAGAGTGGAACTGCCCCACAGGGATTTCCATGGCTATAAATCTTTACAGAAGCAGACTGCCTCACCTTTCCCCTGTGGAATAGCTGATGGGTTCAAACCACAGACCTTTTGGTTATCAGCCAAATGCCATAACCACTAACCACTGTACTATCAGAGTTCCTTGAGTACCCTCTAGGTATTAAAAATTTTAAATTTACTTTAAAGCTATAGTAATTGAATAAGAGTAGTACGTGAGGAAACAGCATCTGCAATATATTTAACAAGCAAAGAATTAATATAAAAATGCCTTATTAATAAGTAAGTAGTTATTAAATAAGGAAGATAGAAGGTATGAAAAGGCAATTTACAGAAGAGGAAAGGCAAGCCTATTTTAAAAAGATAAAATGTTGCACAAGCATTTGGGGAAATGCAATTAAAATGGTAACATGTTTCTGCTTTTTACTCCAGCAAAACTTAAAAACTAGTGTGGTAGTTAAGTTTGTGGGTCAACCTGGTGGGGCCTGGTTGAGTGGTTGGGCAGCTGAATGTAGTTATTCCCCATGGTGAGACTGGTAATTAACTCCAGGGTGGAATCTATTGGAGCAGCTGAGTAGCTGCTTTGGGGATGTGATCTGCTTCCTGTATATAAGAAACAGATTTGGGAATGGTCTCTAGTTTATAGCATGATTGAGCCCTGCATGTACCCAAGTCATTGTTCAGCAGCCTGCCATGCTCTGTTGAGACTTTCAATGGACTTGAATTAATGGCCTGCCGTGTGGTTTGGCCTTTTTACTTGTAACTGGGCTTGTCAGCCTTAGCAGCCAGCACGGTCTGAGTGAAGAAAAGCCTCAACCTTCAGTGGGCCAAGAGAAGGAAGCAGAGCTGAAGCCCAAGGTTCAGAGGATTTCACCTAGGCCCTAGAGCCTGGCACTTTGAACTCAGACTTAAAGCTCCAATCTCCTGTTTGTTAAAACCATCTCATTTGTGGTATATTCTTGTCAGCTCAGCACTAGGTAATCAGAACAACTAGCAACATTAAATGCCAGAAGGAGTATGAGAAAATAGGTACTTGCATGTAATTGACCAAAAAAAACAAACACACTGCCTTTAAGTCAGATCTGACTCATAGCGACCCCTTCTTGGGTTTCCGAGGTGGTATCATTATAGAAATAGATTGCCCAACTACCTTCCGAGGCATGGCAGGTGGGTTTGAACCACCAGCCTTCTGGTTATAAGTCAAATGCCTTAGGCACTACACCACCAGAGCTCCTACATAACTGACAGGTATATAAATTATTATACTCCTTTTGAAATACAATCTGTTAGAGCTTATTAAATGTGATCCCTAAAACCGTAATTACATGCTTAAGAATCTATCCTATAAAAAACACATACTTAGATACGAGCATACCAAAAAAAAAAAAATTGCTGTCAAATTAGAGAGATAAGCATAGTGACTGCTTAATTAGAAACCATAAAAAAAAAAAAAAAAAAAAAAAATGCAAAAAACAACCTCGAAACCTAAATCTCCGTCAAATAAAAAAATAATTAAAATATTTGTTTAAGACTATGTTATAGATCACTTACAGCAGTAAATAGATTGATATCTACTGACATGTAAAAATTTCCACAAAAATTCGCAACTCTTAGAACATAATATGATTCTTTTTATACAGAAAAAATTCCAAATCTATGAATATGTTTATGTGTACAGTTATTCAAGAGATATGGATATTGTAAGTAAAGACTTACACCAAATGATAACCTATTTTTCAATAAACATTTTCATATGCCAAGCTACCATACTTGAGAAGCATAAACTTAGATATATTATGTGCTGTTTTAAAATAAACAGCTGAAAGTTATGATTGTCTAATTATATAAATACCTTGTTCAAAGCTTACATACTAAGACAGTGTGTAGCTTTTTAAATGTGACATTTAAGGTCATCTTCAGTATGCTGAAATGAGAATTTAAGTTGTGCTTACCTATCTCATTAATCACTGCTCTTACTTTGGAGACAAAAGGCCCAACTTCACTGGAATGCATTTTGACTCTTTCCTTAAGGTCAGCACCTACAAAGTATATTATTTAACAAATATAAACTACTTATAAATAAAATTTTAAGTCAAAGAATATAAAATGTACTTAAAATCCATATATAACTAAAGATCAACTGAATTCATCTGTTAAAGGAATTATATTAAATTTTCTTTTTCAGTGATTACCAAAAGCAGAAATATTTTTTCACAAATTTACCACATGCTTAAAAGAGTGGTTCTCACACATGCTTAAAATAGAGGTTGTCAAATTTTTTGGTCTCCTTTTACACTCCAAACAAGGGAATTAGTTTGTGTGTATTATACTGCATTAGAAACTGAAATTAAGAAATTTTAAAAATATTTATTCAGTTTATAACATATATGCCCATTTTAACATTAACATAAATCACTAGATTGGTTCTACTATCTGCAAAGATACTACAAGTTTTATACACCATTGCACTCGTCCAACAGTGCAAATGTCGACACTGAAAAGGTAATGTCTTAGTGTTATGAAAATCATTTTTTTTACTTTGTGGATGACAATCTTCTTGACTGAAGACCACATCTGAGAATCACTGGCTTTAAAGCATGTACAATGAGATCATTTCATATTATGAAATATGGGACTTCATCACAGCATTGTGATACAACCTCTGAATAGAGGAAAAAAAATAAACATATGGATTCCCTAAGGGATCACTTGCTCTTATGGCTCAACAAAGATATTTGTTTTGATAAAATTAAAACTAAAAAAATTAAACCTACCTGAGAAAAGTTTTGGTAGCTTAATACCTAAGGCACTTGACTACTAACCAGAAGGCTAGTGGTTCAAACTCACTAGCCACTCTGAAGAAGGAAGTTGGGGAAATCTACTTCCGTAGAGATTTACCACCTCGGAAACCCAATGAGGGTTGCTATGAGTCAGAACACTGACTTGATGGCAATGAATGTGGTTTGCTTTTTGATTCTTCAAATATTACAGCAAAGTAACATTATGGTATTTTCACTGACATTGAGTTGATTCTGACTCATAGTGACCCCTCACTAGGTTTCCAAGGCTATAAATCTTTACAAAAGCATATCACCTCATCTTTCTACTATAGAGTAGCTGGTGGGTTTGAACCCCTAACCTTCTGGTTAGAAACCAAATGCCATAACCACTACATACCAGAGCTCCATATGTATATTCTCTCTCTCCCATATGTATATTCTCTCTCTCTCTCTCTCTCTGTGTGTGTGTATGTGGTGTGTGTATATATATATATATATATAAACACATATATATATATAAAAGATTTGCAGCCTTAGAAACCCTATGGGGGAGTTCTATTCTACAGAGTTGCTATTGGGGCAGTTCTACTCTGTCCTACAGAGTTTGGAATCAACTCAAAAGCAAAGGGTTTGGTTTTCTCCAGTTTTAAGCATATACTTGGATATTTAATCTCTTATTTAGCCTATAAAAATTAATTTTGACTATACATGTTATCAGGGAACTCTGGTGGCATAGTGTCTAAGGCATCTGACTCCTAACCAGAAGGCTGGTGGTTCAAATCCACCAGCCACTTTTCAGAAGACTGGGTAATCTACTTCTGTAGTGATGCTGCCTCGAAAACCCAAGGAGGGGTTGCTATGACTCACATCCAACTTGAGAGCAGTGAGTGTGTGTGTGTGTGATACACGTTAGTGAGGAGCTCTGGTGTTGCAGAGGTTAAGTATTCAGCAGGTAACATAGAGGTCATTGGTTCAAATGCACAAGCTACTCTGTAGGAGAAAGACATAGCAGTATGCTTCTGTAAAGACTGAAGCTTTGGAAATCATATGGGAGAGTTCTACTCTGTCCTATAACGTCACTATGAGTCAGAATCAACTCAGTGGAAAAAGGTTTGGTTTGGTTTGGTTTTGGGGTATACATGTTAATGAACTACTTGCTATGATTAGAGCATCAATAATTTTACTCAATTGTAGTAGAAGTGAAAACTGAAGCTGAGAAAGTGCATATCCTATAATTTATCAATACTTTAGTAAATATACCCTAGAAAATCTCTTAAACATATAACCAAGGAAATATGTACAATCATATTTGATGCCGTTTATATAGAATAGCAAAAAATTAAAAGTAACCTAAATGTACATCCAGAGAGAACGAATAAAACTAGTGCACACTTATATAATATATACATAAAAATACAATAAATACTTATGTAGCATGAAAATAAATGAATTATGAGTATAAACATAGATAAATCTAATAAATAATGTTGAAGGAAAAATACAATTGCAGAAAGATAAACAAGATGAAAACATTTATATAAACTTGAGAAAAATAAGGAGAATATTGTTTAGGGATATTACATGCATGGAAATGATGAACATCAAATTCAAGTTGATGGTTATCTCTGCAGAAAGGGAGAAAGGCAATCGGCTCACAAAGGACTTCAATTTTATTTATAATATATTATGGTTTGAGTGGGTATTCATTATGTTAGTCTTTAAAACTTTTTGTATGTCTGGTATATGTCTTCATGGTTAATTTTTTTCCATGAAGAACTAAAATTTGACAAGGAAAAAAAAGTCACTAGGGCCCTCAAATTGTAAAATAGTAGGATCTATTTGAGACATACAAAAAAGGTCTAAATCACTGTCATTTAGAATTGAGAATATACTTTTAAATTGGGAATATAAAATTTTGCTTAGAGGAGGTGTTGGTGAGTTGGCAGAAAAGGCAGAGAAACTACACAGATCCTCTTCAACAAAGAGAAACGAAATCAAATAACACAGATACAGAGAATAATCCGGGAGCCCTGAGCTTTGAAAGGAAAAATACAGAAGTGGACTAAACTCCAACTCGTAGAGGAACCTGCATGAAAAACCAAAAAAGAAGACATACAGAGCTGCAGTGATCCTGACGGCATGGACAGGTTAGATATTGTCAAGAAGTATCAGGACCTAAGAATTAACCTGAAAATCATCCCTGCTAGGCAGAGGCTGAGTGGAGAATAGCACTGGTGGCTGGTGAATAAAAAGGGAAGCAGTGAAGAGGAAGATGGGCTGAGCTATGGACTTTTGGCTGTCCAGAGGGCACAGTGATTTTGAATGTTTACAAGTAATTGGACTATTTTAGATATTTAAAGCGACAGCATTCTCTCAGATTCCAGGGACCTAAGAATACACTCCACTTGCCAGGGACCACAAGGGCATTCTGGACACAGGACTGGAAAGGTCCAACAATCCCTTCATTACTGTTATATCCTACACCCTCTTGGTGAACAGAGGTGTGGCTATCACTCACTCCCACCCACCTTCTGGGCCAGCAGGAATCCCATCCCAATCTGTACACCCTGACAAAGTCTAAGTGCCCTGCACTGCCAAGATTATTTATTTTTCTTTTTACAGTTTGTTTGTTTTTGTCTGTTTAAAAATTTTTTTTCTGTTTTTGTCCACTTTATTACTATTCTTTCTTCTTCCCTTAACAGGTCATAGTTTTTGGCTTTTTCCCTCTTTTCTTTTCCTGATTCCCTTTTTTTTTTTTTCTTTCGTGTTGTTCTCCTTATTCTTTTTCTTTTAGCATTTCTTCCTTCATTATTCTCTTTTCTTTAACTGAGTGGGAAACAGTAACCATGCCCATAAGACCAAGCCACACCCACACCTCCTGCACCTCAACTTACTGAGAGCCACCACTTTCTTCTGCATCAACTGGCCAATGATACACAACCACCAATAACATCCTGACTCACCCATAACTGCTCTTTACAAACAGTTATCAGAGCCTTGTGCAGCCACTCTCATTCTCTATCACATCCACCAGGAGACAGGAGGTGAGTGCATAAATGCTGCCAACTAGGAAACAGAGGAACATAGTAGCCTGCTTACTCACATACAACCTAAAAAAAACACACACACAGACACAAAGAAAACAAACATCTTGGGAGAATCACTCTAGATACAATCACCAATTAAATATAAATAAAACAAAGTCACAATGTCAGGGAATTAACATACCATCACAGTTCACAAAAAGAAGCAAGATAAAGCAGTAGAAACAAGGGAGCAAGATACAGATCTAGAACAATCCTCTGAGGAAGAAGCAGCATTAAACTCCCTGATAAGGAATTCAAAATAACTATATTTAGGTACCTCCAAAGGACTGAGAGGCAGATCAAGGAAAACACTGACAAAATTAAGGAAAACAAAGACAAAACCCTAGGGCAATTTCAGAAAAAAATTACAAGAACAAAATGACAAAATAAATTAAAAAATCAGAAATGATACAAAACCTACAGACAGAAATCCAGAAGATAAATACTAAATTTTCAGAAATAGATACCACACTGAGAGGACAAAGGAGTAGAATCAAATCAATGGAAGACAGAATTAATGAGATTGAAGACAAACATCTCAATAATTCTTTGGAAAAAGATCAAAACAAAATGAAGAAAACCTAAGATCCATGTGGTATACCATCAAGAGGAATAACCTATGTGTAATCGAGATTCTTGAACAGGAAGAGAAAAAGAAAACCACTGAGAAAACTGTACAAGATTTCATGGAAGAGAACTTCCCTTACATGATGAAAGATGACAATATATCCATTCAGGAAGTCCAATGAACACCAAACAGGAAAGAAAATCATCAGGACATACCATCAAACTCACAAAAACCAAAAGAATCCTCAAAGCATCAAGGGAAAACTAAAAGTTACCTACAAAGGGCAACCAATAACACTAAGCTCTGATTTCTCAGCAGAAAACATGCAGGCGAGAAGGCAGTAAGATGGTGTATATAAAAACCTGAAAAAGAAAAACTTCCAACCAAGAATTACATACCTAGCTAAACTGTCCCTCAAATATGATGGTAAAATTAGGCTATTTCCAGATAAGCAGAAATTAAGGAAATCTGTTAAATCCAGACCAACCTTCCAAGAGATACTAAAGGGTGTCCTGTCATCAGAGAACCAATAATAGGAAACAACCACTGACCATTAATACACATGATGACATAACCCAGAAATCAAACCAGTTATGGAGGTATCC